GGTGGGCACCTTCACCCTTTGATGCTGTCAGAGATTTTTTTAGCCAACTTTCCTGACTAAACACACACATGCCGCAAGAAAACCCTGATTTTAAAGTTGTGATGTAAACAACCCCGAATTATTACTATCCCCTAAAGGCTACTGCTGGCAGGCATCAGTGATAAAGCTCTGCCAGAGCAGTCTGGCATCTAGCAACAATTTGTTTGTTGTCCTGCAAAAGTACAGAGAGCCTTGCCATATGGTATTAGCGACTTTCTGGTAACATTAAGAAATATATTGGCTTGGAAAGCAGTTATCATACCAGCAAAATCGCTGTGTCTGAGAGGCAGGTCTCTGCTGTGAGTGGCACCAGCACAGCGGTGCTGGGCAGGGCTGGGAGAGGCACTGGTGGCCAGCACAGCCATGCCACCTCCTGTCCCCTGTGCCAATGACACGGCCCCGGCACAGCCAGGCTTTGGCTGGCACAGCTTTTGTTCAGGAGCTGGACCGTGCCTGGGGACCAAAGCTCAGCTCATTGTGAGTGCTGGGAGGGCTCCAGTGCTGCAAACGTGGTGTCAGGGGACACAGCCTGTCCCCTGAAGGCAGGGGAACCCAAATTATCTGTCACCAGTCTGGAGCTCTGCCTCAGCCACCCAGCTGCCCACAGCTTCCCTCACCAAACAGCTTTTCCCCTCTGCTCATGTCCAGCTCAGAGAATGGGGCAATAAAATCAAACTCATTGAAATACTTTTACAAAAATAATGCCCCTATACTGCAATGATTCTGAGAGTGTGTGGACACCAGATCACTGAGGATCCTTGAAAGAAGGTGGGAGTGTGAAATACCCTCCCCACAGATACCTGCTGCAGCCTGAGCACCAGCATTGACCAGACTGCTCCATCCACAGGGGTGTGTCAAGGAACCAGAGGGAATCCCCTGGAGACAGTGCTGGGGGTCAGGAGATGCTCTGCTCTGCTCCCCATGCAGCTGCCACCAACCCTGGCCATACCCAAAGCAAGGGCAGGCTCTGGCCATCCTTTGATAGTTCAGACTCACCCAGACCCCTGACTGCAAATGCTCTCCTGCCAGAGATGGGACAGGACAGGGAAGGGCAATCTCTGCAGCATCCTGCAGTTCTGGAGAGTTGGATGTCTGAAAGGACAGGCTCAGCAAGAGCAGCTGGAGCCCTGCTCAGGTAAGAGCCACCTGCTCAGCCCAGGCTGCTCCTCGCCCCGGGAGACTTCAAAGACTTACCCTTGCCAGCCTTCAGCAAACACAACATCCCCACTCCCCCATGGCCTTATCTCAGTGCACGAGATAAGAGAAGCTGAGGCAGAGAGAAAAACCACAGAAGGACTCCCCAGGAGAACCAGTTAGAAGCTCAAGAGCTCCTCCAAAGAGACCATCAGCTCCTCTTTGCCTCTAGCACTGAATTACTGCCAATATTCAGAACTGTTGTGTTCTAGATGACTTGTCACCTTGTCACAATGGACAAGTCACATCATGCCTCTCCTTGGAAGAAGAACTGCACCTTTGAGTCCTCTTCCCCCCATGTTTTTATAAGCCCGAGATAAATAAACAGGTTTAATAACTTTTTAAAAAAGACAAAAAGGTTTCTCAGAAAAACAGCTGTCATTCTTGTTCTGAATTTTCCCATTTTCATCTTTCTCCTTGCACTACGATTTCACCACAAAGCCTGGAGAAGAGAGAGCTCTGGGAAGAACTTATTGCAGCCTTTCAGTATTTAAAAAAGGTTAAAGAAAGATGGGGGCAAACCTTTTAACAGGACCTGTTGCAATAGGACAAGGAGTAATGGCTTTAACAAAAAGATAAATTGATATTAGTCATAAAGAAGAAATTCTTTACTTTGAGGGCACTGTCAGAGATTGCCCAGAGCAGCTCTGGCTGCCTCTGGATCCCTGAAGTGTCCAAGGTCAGGTTGGACGTTGGGGTTTGGAGCAGCCTGGGACAATGGAAGGTGTCCCTGCCATGGCAGGAGTGGAATGGGATGAGCTTTAAGGTCCATTCCAACCCAAAAATTTCTCTGATTTTATTCTAAATTTCAGTGGTCCACAGAAAACCTCGGGAAGACCAGAAAACTTGGGACCTACAATTTTTACGTAGCAGCAAAAACCCATAGGCAAAGAAAGATATGGGCAGAAGTAAAAAGAAATAAAATTAAATGTTTCTTGGGCCTTCTTCAAAACAACACCAAGAATTCACAAAAAACACACTTGAGTTTGTTTTCCCCAGGTGCTGCTCACCTGTAACAGAAAAGTCACTGCTGTACAACACATCCCCTGTCTCGTTTTCCAGAGCACCACAGAGTGCCAGTGACCTCAGCAGCTGCTGTTGTGAGAGCCAGGAGCCTGCCCAAAACAGCTCCTTTGGTTCCTGCTGGCTGTGAACACACCCAGCAACACCTGAAACAGGCAAAACCCACCAGGTTTGGGGCTCCTGAGCAGGCTCTGTCAGAGGGCTCTGCTGGGAAACATTGGTGGAGGTGCAGTTGCCAGAAATAAAGACACAAAGGCTGCTCCTCTTGCCCCGGGGGTTAACCTGCTTCCCTGCAACACAGCCAGCTCCAAGGTGGGGAAAAGCCCTGTCCACCTCTGGAGCTCTTGTGTTCATCACTGGTTCCAGCTGAGAAGAACAACAACCTGCTCCTGACCATGGCACTCTTCGTAGGTGATTATGGGACTCAAAAGGGGCTAAATTCAAAGCAGGTTTTCAACTGGGGGGGATCCAAAACTGCTGAGTGAGGAGCAGAACAAAGCCAGGTGGCACGTGCTGGTCTGCTTGGGGATCATGAGTGTAAGGCAATAGGAAAGCAGCAGGGGAAATGCTCCAGAGGTTGGTCCCATGGCTCCTCTCCTGCCAAATGAACATAGTCGGACAGCCATGGAGCAATCGCTTCGTGGGCTTCATTCCCCTCCACCCCCAGACTGAACTTAAATATTTGTATAAGCCCAGGCGTAACTTTCATCTCATGTTTTCCTTGGGGTTTACTGGCTGTTTGGAGCATGCAGGCTAAAAGGCATTCCCTCAAACTCTTGCCACAAAGAGAGCTGAAGCCATGACATTAATTAAAACCACACTCTTTGGTATCTAGAAGACATGCTATTGTTTTCTTTTGTTGCTCATGGGGAGCTGTTAATGTGGGCGACACATCTGGAACATTTTCCTGCCCAGCGCCGCGTTCCCTCTGGCCCAGGTCGGCTGCTTTGGGAACTTGTCACAGGCTGGGCTGGGAGGGCAGCAGTATTTACAAGAACAGACTTATTTATTCTTTGTCACAAAACATTTGCCAGCTTAACACCATGAAAAGCACATGCTGGTGGTGGGGGGAAAGGGTTTGTGCTGCCTGAAAGGTGACAAGCTAAAGAACTGTCCTGCCTCAGCACCCAGTAGGTCAAATCAAGGGATGAGCCTTAAACGCACACTCCATACAAATACATGGAATGTTTGGAAAAACTGATGCTGACTTGGCCAGGATGCTCCTGAACACTCTGTGCAGAACAGGAAAGGCCGTGGGCTGCCCTGTGCCACTGCTGACCCACCTGGCACAAGGTCTGCTGAAAAAAAGGTAAGATTTTGTGTTCAGTTTACCCCACCTGAGTGCTTCTAAGATCTCCACGGCTGGTATCAGCACCTCCTAAACATGAACAACATTATCCTTGTAACACTTCAGGGGAAAATGCTATGATTGCATTTAAAGGACGGAAAATTAAGGCACAGAAATATCTAAGACAGGTTTGTGTCCAATGCAACCTTCAAAAGCATCCAGCACGGTTTAAATCCAGTTGAAATAATTCCCAATGGGGTCCAGTAATAATTCCAATAATTCCAGTAATTTCCAATGAGACCAATGGGGTCTCACGCAGGGTGGTAACACAAGTGCAGGAAGCAGAGAGAATTGGATGCTTTGCCCCAGCCTTCCCAGAGTGCTGATTTCCATTTCTCCCTGACTTTAAGCAGTGCCCTGGACGCCTCCTGCCTTGTCAGGCAGCTCCAAAGCAGGTCAGGCTCAGGGCCCTGGCTGGCAGCAAATAACCTGGGCTTAGCCTCCACAGAGCATCTGCTCCCCAAGGAAGCACAGGTGGAAGAGGGAGGGATCCTCCTGGGAAGGCAGTGTCCCATAGGTGTCACTCCTGCCACCACAATAGTAAATAATTTTTCATCAGAGGCATTTGGTTTCTGTTTGGGAGCATGGCTTTCACTGCCTTGACTCAAAACAAAACTCAGCTTGCCTTTTTCACAGCCACAGAGATACTAGGTTTGAACTCCTGGCAGTGCTAAGTGAGGGCAGCAGAGGTTTGAAAGCTGGAATATTCTATTTCACATTTATTTTTTGGTGGCACTTCAGCTTTGCACAAGCCTCTGCCTGGTTAGCAAGCCTCCAGCTTTTCCAACAATAAAGAAGGACTGTGTGAGTTACAAAACCAGCTAATACACAAAAAATACTACTTCAGCACACAAGCTGGGCTGAAGGACTGAACACGCTGTAATTTGCTACATGCTTCCATTGGGGGGGCATCCCCCAAATTTCTGATTCCAGCCCTGGCTGTGCCACACCAGTCCCTGGCTCCTGGCTGGCAGGAAGGAGCTTTCTGCTCCAGCACAGTGCTCTGCTTGCCCTTCCACTCTGAATTTCTCCCAAAAGGAGTTCTGGGGGAAATTCATATTTGGATGTCCCCCCAAAGGAAGATCAGGTGGGGAAGGTGCTGTGGCCATGGCACTGGGATGCTGAGGTGACATCCCACGTGAGGCACGACCCCGTGCACACCTGCAGCAGCCCTGGAGAGCCCCGTGGGGTTGCAGGGCTCGTTTCACAGGCTGGGGGGCTCGATGGAGCCTCAGGAGAGCACCTGGGACAGCAAGAGCTGCCCTGCAAACCCCACATCCCCCGTCCTGCTTCTCATTTGAGGCTGACAGATGAGGCTCAAACACATCATTACAGCCTGGAGGAGGCTGCTCAAGGTAACACTCAGGTTACAAATGAATTAATAGGAAACACTTACCTTCCCCACTAGCTTGCCTTTCCTGTTCATGCAAAGGTAGAAATCTGTCTCCTTCCCTTTGATCCGGACTTGACTGCCAAAAGTGTCTGTTTCCACTAGAAGCTGGGCTTGGAAAGGAAGAAGAAAAGAAAGCATTTACCAGTGTGGTCCCAGGAAGCTGCAGGGTGCAGAGCTCACCAGGGCACTGTTCCTCTGCACCACAGCACGCCCTGCAGGGCCAGCCCCGGGACCAGGCAGCTCATGGCTCGGTGCAGGTGCAGGTCTGACAGCTCTCCACTCATCCCCACACAGATAGCCCGAGTTTAGAGCTGCTTTACATGGAAACATGGATACATGGATAACCAACACACCTGTGGGCTCTGTCACACCTGCCCCACCACCTCACCAGCAATGCTAGCTCACTGTTCAGAGAACCAGGAATTGTTTACGTTGGAGAAAACCTCTGAGATCATCAAATCTGACTGTTCCCCCAGTCGTGGCCACCAGATGTGGCACCCTACGTGACATCCATGTGGCTTTTAAACACCTCTGGGGGTGGTGATGCCACCAATGCTCTGGGCAGCCCGTTCCAGTGCCAGCACTCTCCTTCACGCTGCAGGAGGGTTCTTGGAGGGTAAGAATGTGGATTTTATTCTCATGAAGATGAAAGATTAGCATGATGAGAAAGAAAACCCTTTCCTCACAGCCAGCAGCCCTCAAACACTGAACAGAAGATCTTCAGCCACACACTCCAGTGCAAAACCTGGCAGGGATCTCCCAAAGGTCGCCACAACAGCTCACAGGGAGAAATTGCCTGCTCTGTCTGATGCACACCCACCCTGCACATGTCCTGCGTGCCTGGTTGTGCTCCCAGGAGGTCACAGGTTTCTTTCTGGCAGTCCAGGTCCAGGTCTCAGGCTCTAGCTGGGAGAAACGTGGCCAATCTCTGTTTTGCAGGGTATTGATGCCAGAGCTGGTTTGCAGCAGGAGCCAGGGGGGAGGATGGATTGCTGCTGCATCTCCACAAAGCCCTGCTCTACCACAGCTGTACCTGCCCAAGGGGCCCAGCTGCCACCCAGACGAGTGGCGTGCCATCATCGTCATCATCTCAAAACCCAGACAGATCCAAATGCAGCCTTTTATTCCATCTCTAGCTAAACACAAATTCCAGTCATGCTCAAGATTCGGATTCCAGGAATTTCCCCGGAGAGGCAGGAACAGGCAGACTGGACATTTTGGTGCAGATCCATCTCCAACATGGAGGAGGAGAGAGGAGACATGGTTGAAACACAATGCAAGAATGTGTGAGTGTCAGCAAGTGCAGCTCCACGCTCCTGCTCTGGAAATACTCATGCCTGTGAGTTCTGAGCCCCACCGTAGAAATACAGCTTTTGCCAAACTCTGGAGAATGTTTGATCTGCGCTGAAAAAAGTCACATTCTTTTTGGCATTCATATTTCAAACTTTAAAGCCCTCTAAGAGCAAATATGTTCATTGTAAGGATTTACCATGGGGATAGAAATAGGAGTTTGTTTCATTTAAACACATTAATATTTTTCCCACTTGTAAAGTCAGCTTTTGGCTTCTGCAGCAGTGCAAATATCACAAACCTTTAACTCACAAGGGCCCTAAACAATTTTCCCCTCGCAGCTCAATCACATCTGTAAGTTCAGGGGTTTCCAGTTACTAACTGCTTACATTTATTTAGATATATTTGTTAAACCTGTTATCACTGGGGATATTTAAATTATAACTTCTTTCTGACAGCAAGTGGGATAATGCCTGTATTACAGCAGGATATTACTTGCAATCATGCAGAGATAGGGATATTTATGGAAGTTTTCCAGAAATTCCTCATGGGTTTAGATACCTATGATGGGAGCAGCCTGAAGCAACAACTGGGTGCTGCCCACTTAGTCCCCTCACCTGCCAGGGCAGTGTCAAACCTGTGCCCACTCCTGTGAGGAAGGGCCCCAGCCAGAAATAACCCCTCAAAGTGAGGATATCAAGGTGGGCCAGCCAGGAGGGGGTGATGGCACAAGGCAAGGACAGCTCCTCCAGGGCAGGCTGAGCAGCATGGCTGGAGCCCAGCCCACGGCTCCGGGAAGCTCAGGGAGCTGCTCAGGTGCAGTGCAGCCCTGACACACAAGGGAACAGCAAAGGTGACACCGTCTGCCTTTAAAGAGGTGACTCTGAAAGGGCTTCTCCTCTCAGGAGCAGAGGATTGAGCTCAGCCTCAGAGAGGGAGAGCAGCAGCCAGCACACGAGCAGAGCCAGCAAAGCCTGCTCCGGGAGCCGTGGCCAACACCCAGAGCGCCAAGGAGCTGCCCACAGATGTGCAGTGGCCAAAGCAGCTGGGCACGGGCACCCAGCACAGGGGCCAGGTGAGAACAGGACAGCTCCCTCGAGCTGTGAGGCACTCCCTGCCTGCTCCAGCCTGAGAGGGAAAAGCTGCTGAGAGCGACTCTGAACATCACATGCTATGAACATCACATACCGACTCTGGCCAGCCAAAGGAGGAGCTGACACTGACAAAACCCTCACCACGAGAGCTGTGGTCCCAGCAGCTCCCACCCCTCCGATGCAGGTCCCGTGCTCAGATGGACAAACACGGGGCACACTGGCTCGTGTTCCCCACCCCCTCGCTCTGCAGCCAGTATGAGTAATATCCAAGCTGATTTTAATTTGAAAAATATCACCTTAAAAAGATGCCGGTTCCCTGCTGTGAAAATGAAAACCATCTGGATGGAGTGATTTCAAATAATTAATCTAGGACTCCTTTGGCACCGCTACTAATTAAAATACGATACCTTTCTCCCCCTTTTAGAATAAAAAATTTAACTAAAGTTTAAAGATCTAATAAAATAATGTCATAATTTAGAACTAGATGGAAGTCACCTTTCCTGCGGGCTGCAGAGGTTACAGCAGCGCTGAGATCCCTCCCAGGCAAGTGCCAGTGCACAGCCTGAGCAGCAGAGGATAAGCAAGCATCCAGTGGGACATTTGTGCTGGCAAACACAGCAGCATCCATGCCAGGGCCCCGAGGGACAGCCCAAACCCCCGGGGAAGGAGCAGGAGGTGCAGCAGAGGATGTCTGATCCCTGCTGTGACCTGAGCTGCCCTAGGGCACACCAGGGCCTCACAGAGTTTCCCACTTGTGCAAAATCTGAGTCTTAAGATGTTGGAAGCATTGTCTTATTTCTAGGGAGCCCTGGCCCCCCTTTTCTCCCCAGGAGACCGGTGCAGGGTTATGGCCCAGCAGGCGTCCAGACTGCAGCACCCCTGCAACTTCTTTGTGCAACAAGCATCTCCCTAAGTTCTCTCAGGCACCTTAAACAACACATCTAAAATCCTCTGGGATGAATCCCAGCCCTGAAGGTTGCAACCAGAGTTCCTGGGGGGTGGAGGCTGACCCAGCACAAGGGGTTGCTCGTGTCTCCCACTCCACTCACACACAGCAGGAGAAAAGCTCAGCCACCACCAACATATTTTACATTAATTTGAACTGTTCTTGGATTGCTGCCCTGTGATAAATATGCCACAGCACAATGGAAGAGCCAAGGAAAATCCAAGAGAATGTGCAGGAGAGCTCAAGGTGTGCCACCATGCCAGAGCAGCATCCCCACAGCACTCTGATGCTCAGCACACCTGACTTCCAGCCCCATCTGTCCCTGGACACACCACACAGAGATTACAATCTTTATTTTCAAAGGCCCTGCACTTCAATCTTCAGATCAGGCGTTATTGTTTGAATTCTTTGAGAGCTAGATATTCTGATATATTTTCCTGAGGAATAAAAAAAAAAAGCAAAAGAGAAACGATGTCTTTAGAGGGTGAGATCTCCTGCTACATGTTTTGCCTTATTGGCCCATTTAACCTAAACCTTCCTGAAAACTCCCATTGGAAGAGACTGGAATTCCTCACAAGTCTAGGTGAAAAGGATTACATATATATATATGTGTTGAAAAGCTATCTACCAGCTAAGAAAACATGAAGTCAGGGAGATATGTGAAGGTGGCAGAAAATATGCCAAATTATCTTTCAGCTATTTCCTGGGAGAGGGAGGACAGGAGCCAGAAAGGCACAGGGAAAGAGAGGAGAAAGAGGTTACCTGAGAAGTGTAAGGTTTTCAAATTCCAATCACAAAATCCTCAGGTCCAGATAAAGAGATAAAGGGGAAAACACAAGAAGGGTGCAGAAGGACTGGATACTTCAAGTCTATCCACTGGTTTGGGTTTTTTTGCAGGTGAAACCCCTGCAAAGGGAGCCACAGGGAGAAGGAACACAGCTGCTTACACTGTCCACAGGCACCTTGCAGTCAGCCAGATACAACAGATTTCCTGGGGACGAGGATCTCAGAGGGGACCAAGATTTTGTTGCTTAGGTTGCACTTCTTTTTCTGAAACAGTCAGGGAAGCACTGTCAGAGTTGTAACCATTTCCAGTGAATGAAGAGGATGCAGTGGCACACTGAGGCTGGGAGCACAGCCCCTGGGATGGAGGGCAGCTCTCCCAGTTTGTCACCCTGCTGCTGTGAACCAGGACATTCCCATCGTTCGCAGAGCACAGATCGTGTCTGATGGGAGAGTAAAATTCAATCTCTGCTGGGACTGAATCTTCTCCCCAGACTCCCAGCACGGACAGCAGTGCTTAAATACTTGAAACCTGTTCAAACCCTGCCTACCCCTACCAAAACCACATGAATCCCTTCTGCAACCACAACAGCAGAGAGCATGACTCTGTCTCCACAGCCATGATGTAATGATGAGGGAATAACACCAAAATTAGGTAAAGTCTGGAGGATCTAATGAAGCCTGCTGGCTGTGGCCCAGTGAGGGAGTCAAGGCTGCATCCCTAAGTTTTGTCTGCACACTTGCATAGTCCCACAAACTGAATGGTATTTAATGGTTATAATCCACAGAAGCCAACTCCCTTCTCAAATATTCAGGTTCAAATTAGGAGCAACCACCCCAACCAGTGAGGCTTGTGCTTGGGAGGGCAGAGCTCTGACCCCACTGCCCTGAGCTCATCCTGTCTGTCCTGAGCCCAGCATATGCACGTCAAATTATTAAATGGGATGTTCCTGGGGAGGAAGACTAAGAGCAGCTCCAAGGCTCAGGCACCAGATAT